TTCAGACCAACAAAAAAGTTTAACAAATTTTACCCACATTTTATTATACTTTTGATAACATATCTATCAATCCCTTCATCCTTTCATCAATCTATCTTTTTTGATGCATTTCAATGTTGCAGACATTAGTACACTTTACCCAATATACTTCCGTATGCATATCATTAACTATGCCATATGTATATGCGTATGTAGGAGAGGATAAAGATCACCTCTACCAGTCTTAGTTCTTAGTTGGGGCACCTACATCAAAAGACAGATTAACAAGAGAAAAACACGTTTATTAAGGCATGCAGTGCACATCATACATAAGAAACCTCACTGAAAAGTAACTTAAAACAGTGGCTTAGAACTCTTATACAAAATCTACAAGAAGGAACAGTAAATTTGTGAGGAGATTACAGGACAAAGGAAAGCAGTTTTAGGTTTCCAAAGGTGGGAAACTGTGAGAAGGTAAATATATGGGAAGAAACCAATGGAGTGAGATTTGTTTGAAGTTTCCTCTGGTGCCATCTGTGGGCTGCTAAGAGTCTTGAACTGTCTTCAGTAAAGGAGAATTTATACCCTGTTTTTAGGCAGATAAGTGGGAGAACAGGGAGAGCTTGTCTTCCATTTTCTGCTTCTTAATTGCCTTTAGCTCAAAAATAATTTATGTCAGAGGCATATTCTGGGATGACATTCTGGTTTCCTTCCTATGATATGCATACTTCAGAATGCATATTATTAATGACAATGAAATGTATACATATTAAGTGTACCATTTCTTGAGTTCCAACATATGCATACACCTGTGCAACCCAAATCCCTATCAAGATACAAAATGTTTCCCAGAAAGTAACCATTGTTCTGACCTTTTTTTCCACTATACATTAGTTTTGCCTTTTCTAGGACTTGTATATAGTCCTAGAAGTCCCCTCTTATCTGTGGGGGATTCCAAGACCCCCAGTGGATGCCTAAAACTGTGGATAGTACTAACCTATACGTACTGTTTTTCCTATACATACATACCTATGATAAAGTTTAATTTATATGTTAGGCACATAAGAGATTAACAATAAGTAATAAAATAGAATAATTATAACAATATATTGTAATAAAAGTT